TAATACGCACCCAACACGCACCCAACACGCACCCAACACGCACCCAACACGCACCTAATACGCACCCAACACGCACCCAACACGCACCCAACACGCACCTAATACGCACCTAATACGCACCCAACACGCACCTAATACGGGTATGTTGCTTTCCTCTTACCCTCCCCTCCCTCCCTCCCTCCTCTTTTAGCGACCGTCACAGCCTCATAGTGACCGTCACAGCCTCATAGTGACCGTCACAGCCTCATAGTGACCGTCACAGCCTCATAGTGACCGTCACAGCCTTCCCTTTAGTGACCGTCAGAGTTAGAAAACACAAGACCAACAACACCTAAATTACAGGGACAATCTATCACACAAACAAACACACATACACAAACAAACACACATACATACACAAACACCCACCAAACATACACCCCTAACATTTTTACCCTCATAAACATACACACACACAAGAGGTTACAAGAAATAACATAATCTTAAAAGCTGTAGACAACTTCCTCTTTCCCTTGTGACTCACTAAGAATGTTTCCCTGGGCTATGGATCAGACCAGATGCCTCCTCCTTCTTCAACAGTTCAGGGGTTACTAGGCTGAAATGTGCTGCCCTGGTCTTAAAGTTTGGCGGAATACGTTTCTTACCGTGGCGGCAGTGGAGGGAGGGAGAGATGGGTAAGGTGGAGGGTCTTGTGAGAATGTTCCTTTTATAGATAGTGGCGAGAGAGAGAGAGAGAGAGAGAGAGATCAATTGCACTCAGTCGATAATGTAATATATATAATCACCATAACACCTCTAATAGCTGTTATTCATTTGGGTTATAAGGTTAAACATGAAGATCACAACTTCGAAAAAGGCCTCACTCCCTCTGGTGTGAGTTACTCCTTCCTAAAGCAGCAGTATAGTGCCGCCTTCATTGTGTTACTCGTGGCTTCTGTCAACACTCAGCTATCACATAACACAAAATAAGACTTACAATATCTTGGTAACTATACTTAATCAGAAGACATTATTGTTTACAAGAGTGTGGAGATGCTTGTCTAACCTAACCTAACCTAACCTAACCTAACCTAACCTAACCTAACCTAACCTAACCTAATTTATAAATACTTTGTTTCCGATAATAAATTGTCAAAAAATATTACTTGAAACCTTTATGTTTGAAGAAAGTAAAACGCTCTCAACCAATGACTATCTATATTAATCACGCTGAATTCTGATTGGAGGAGCTTAAATACCCTTAACTTAATGAACTCTTTCAGAGGACAAACCCACTCGATACAGGAGTTTGACCTTGACTTGACCTAACATTTGACTAACTTTTCCACCATAAATGAGTGTTTGTCTCCTGGCCAACATCTGACCCACCTGCAACTATCAACAACAAAGTCATACGGGAACCGCCTGAAGATTAGCCCCTTAAATTATATCACCTGAAGATTAGCCCCTTAAATTATATCACCTGAAGATTAGCCCCGGATTATATCACCTGAAGATTAGCCCCCAGATTACATCACCTGAAGACTAACCACTTAAACGCTACCTGGGTGAGTTAGGTTATGTTTGGATAGGTTAGGTTAGGTTAGGTTAGCGTTAATATGGTTAACATTCAGGTGAAAAAAGCTGGGGGCTAATCCTAATCTTCAGGTTATCTTGCAACATTTTTTTAGATACAATATAAAGAAAACAAAATGGGCATGGACAGGAGTTAATGAAATACCCGTAATGTTAACTAAACAGTACTCCCACATGAATCAGATACAGTATTTATGATTTCTATGCGATTACTAGTGCAGTCAAAACTCTCACGCCTAAATGAAATTCTACAGTTTACATACAGTACCGGCAATACATTTTTAGTTTTCTCCTCCCTAGTCGTGTTAGTATAATGATGAGATGATAGGGTTAATGTACAGCGGTGTATCACAATCCTATGTGACCGGCCCGGCCTAGCTGTATGGGCGTGTGACGGCAAGAAGCATAAGTTTACAGAAATTCCCTTTGTGTTTATAATTATGTAGCGTAAATATTGTGTAAAATCCAATATTATACATTATATACTGTAAGTTTGAAACTGGAACAGGTGGCAATTAATTAACTAGGAATAGTCACTAAAGTACATCACCTAGAGGGGTATATGTAAAAGACAAAGTATACACAATTAAGATTATATTAAAAATTTTCAGTCATGATAAGTGTTAGAAAGTTGACGTTCAATTTTTTCCAGTTTTCAATGATGTGGGAACCCTTGTCAAAACTGTATCACCATATTTCTTCCAAGACCGTGTCACTAAAGTTCCTTCTAAAACTGTGGTACGGGAAGAAGTAAATATTTACCTAAACAAATTCATCTTGGTGTTTATTCATTTATATTTTAACGTTAAAAAATGACAACACCGAAAAATGATAAACATAATGAAATTTCCTCTACGCACAGGTTAACAGCGCTCATCCACTATAATGCTCTCGGGAATAATGTGTGTGTGTGTGTGTGTGTGGGAGGTGTGACGTCACTGAAGGATAGCAGATACAGTCTCCTCCACTAGTGCGTTTACAGGGGCTCGTCATATAGCCAAGGTACAGTCCCCTTCACTAGTGTGTTTACAGGGGCTCGTCATATAGCCTAGGTACAGTCCCCCTCACTAGTGTGTTTACAGGGGCTCGTCATATAGCCTAGGTATAGTCCCCTTCACTAGTGTGTTTACAGGGGCTCGTCATATAGCCTAGGTACAGTCCCCCTCACTAGTGTGTTTACAGGGGCTCGTCATATAGCCTAGGTATAGTCCCCTTCACTAGTGTGTTTACAGGGGCTCGTCATATAGCCTAGGTACAGTCCCCTTCACTAGTGTGTTTACAGGGGCTCGTCATATAGCCTAGGTACAGTCCCCTTCACTAGTGTGTTTACAGGGGCTCATCATATAGCCTAGGTACAGTCTCCTCCACTAGTGCGTTTACAGGGGCTCGTCATATAGCCTAGGTATAGTCCCCTTCACTAGTGCGTTTACAGGGGCTCATCATATAGCCTAGGTACAGTCCCCTTCACTAGTGTGTTTACAGGGGCTCATCACATAGCCTAGGTACAGTCTCCTCCACTAGTGTGTTTACAGGGGCTCATCATATAGCCTAGGTACAGTCTCCTTCACTAGTGCGTTTATAGGGGCTCATCATATAGCCTAGGTACAGTCCCCTTCACTAGTGCGTTTACAGGGGCTCGTCATATAAACATTCCACAAATCATTACATTGAGATATTTGTTTTAATATTTTTTTTTAGTTTGATTCCATAGTGTGTTTACTATTGTGGGTTCCCTTCTGCCGAATGTAAACAAACACAGGACTGCCACACTGCACAAAACCTGACGAGCCCCAGTAAACGCATTGTACATGGAAGAAGAATATGCAGGGCTGAAACAGGATACAGCAGCCATACTATACCAAATATAACTGTAATTATGTTACAGCCCGCAATACAGTTTCAGGATGCAGTAAGTCAGTTTCAAGATCTAGATGAGAGGAGATCATTTTATCACTCTGCTGACGAGGAACAATACACAAAGGCTATTATTTCTTAAGCTTTACACATATATGAACCTTTTTTAATTATTGACACTCATATACAAAAAAGCCCTCACACAAAAAGTACTACAAACTCTACAGACTATACAAAAGTGGTTCATGTAGCACTAAAAAGGCCAAAACTCTAAATAAAAGTCGGATTAAGTTAAATTTTGGATCGACAGATAACACAGAAGACGACAGTCCTCGTCATCCTACAACACCATCGTCACCGGCATCGTCCTGCAACACCATCGTCCTACACCACCGTCGTCCTGCAACACCATCGTCCTGCAGCACCGTCGTCCTGCAACACCATCGTCACCACAGCACCATCGTCCTGCACCACCATCGTCCTACAACGCATCGTCCTACAGCACCATCATCTGCACCACCGTGTCCTACAACACCGTCATCCTACACCATCGTCCTACAACACCATCGTCTACAACACCATCGTCCTACAGCACCATCGTCACCACAACACCGTCATCCTGCACCACCGTCGTCCTACAACACCGTCATCTTACACACCATCGTCCTGCAACACCATCGTCACCGCACCATCGTCCTGCAACACCGTCGTCTGCAGCACCGTCGTCCTGCACCACCATCGTCACCGGCACCATCATCTTACACCACCGTCGTCCTGCAACACCGTCGTCCTGCAACACCGTCATCCTCACCGCGCCGTCGTCCTCACCAGCACCATCGTCCTGCAACACCATCGTCCTCAGCACCGTCGTCACCGCACCGTCGTCCTCTGGCACCGTCGTCCTGCAACACCGTCATCCTCACCACCATCGTCCACTCTGGCACCGTCGTCCTACACCGCCATCGTCCTGCAACGCCATCGTCCTACACCACCATCGTCCTGCAACGCCATCGTCCTCCGCAGCACCGTCGTCCTGCAACACCGTCGTCCTGCAGCACCATCATCCTGCACCACGTCGTCCTCTGCACCGTCATCTTCGCACCACCCATCGTCCTCTGACACCATCGTCCTCTGCACCGTCGTCCTGCACCACCGTCGTCCTGCACCGCCGTCGTCTACACCACCGTCGTCCGCAAGACGCCGTCGTCCTGCACCGCCGTCGTCCTGCGCCGCCGTCGTCACTGCCGCCGTCGTCCTGCAACGCCGTCGTCCGCAACGCCGTCGTCTGCACCGCCATCGTCCGCCACGGCACCGTCGTCCTGCAACGCCGTCGTCCTGCGCCGCCGTCGTCCGCCAGCGCAATCGTCCTCTGACGCCGTCGTCCTGCAGCGCCGTCGTCCTGCAAGCACCGTCGTCCTGCAGCGCCGTCGTCCGCCGCGCCGTCGTCCTGCAGCACCGTCGTCCTGCACCGCCGTCGTCCTGCAGCACCGTCGTCTTGCACCGTCGTCCTGCAACGCCGTCGTCCTGCAACGCCGTCGTCCTGCTGCGCCATCATCCTGCACCGCCGTCGTCACCTGGCACCGTCGTCTTGCCACCACCGTCGTCCTCTGGCACCGTCGTCCTGCAGCGCCGTCGTCCTGCAGCGCGTCGTCCACCACAGCGCCGTCGTCCTGCAGCGCCGTCGTCCTCCGGCACCGTCGTCCTGCAACGCCGTCGTCCTGCAGCGCCGTCGTCCTCCAGCACCGTCGTCTTGCACCGCCGTCGTCCTGCAGCGCAATCGTCCTTGCGCCGCCGTCGTCCTGCAAGCACCATCGTCCTGCAACGCCGTCGTCTCTGGCGCCGTCGTCCTGCACCACCGTCGTCCTGCACCGCCGTCGTCTTGCACCGCCGTCGTCCTCTGACACCGTCGTCCTCTGACGCCGTCGTCCTGCAACGCCGTCGTCCTCTGGCGCCGTCGTCTTGCCGCCGTCGTCCGCCACAGCGCCATCGTCTTGCACCGCCGTCGTCCTGCAAGCGCCGTCGTCCTGCACCACGCCGTCGTCGCCACAGCGCCGTCGTCCTGCACCGCCGTCGTCCTGCAACGCCGTCGTCCTGCAACGCAATCGTCCTGGCGCCGTCGTCTGCACCGCCGTCGTCCTGCACCGCCGTCTCGTCGCCGCCGTCGTCCTGGCACCGTCGTCTGCACCCGCCCGTCGTCCTGCACCGCGTCGTCCGCAACCACCGTCGTCCTGCAGCGCCGTCGTCCTGCGCCGTCGTCTGCACCGCCGTCGTCCTGCAGCGCCGTCGTCACCGCAGCACCGTCGTCCTGCACCGCCGTCGTCCTGCACCGTCGTCCTGCACCGCCGTCGTCTGCACCGCCGTCGTCCTGCACCACCGTCGTCCTGCACCACCGTCGTCTGCACCACCGTCGTCCTGCACCGCCGTCGTCCTGCACCGCCGTCGTCCCTGCACCACCGTCGTCACCACAGCGCCGTCGTCCTGCACCGCCGTCGTCCGCAGCACCGTCAGTCCTGCAGCACCGTCGTCCTGCACCGCCGTCGTCCTGCAACGCCGTCGTCTTACCGCCGTCGTCTACGCACCGTCGTCCTGCAACACCGTCGTCCTGCACCGCCGTCATCCTGCACCACCGTCGTCCTGCACCACCGTCGTCCTGCACCACCGTCGTCCTGCACCGTCGTCCTGCAACGCCATCGTCCTGCAACACCATCGTCCTAAAGAGCGCATCGTCCTACAACACCATCGTCCTGCAACGCCATCATCCTGCACCACCATCATCCTGCACCACCATCGTCCTGCACCACCATCGTCCTGCACCACCATCATCCACCATCGTCCTACAACACCATCGTCCCTGCCACCATCATCCTGCGTCATCCTCACCATCATCCTACACCACCATCGTCCTGCAACACCATCATCCTAAACACCATCATCCTACACCACCATCATCCTACCACACCATCATCCTACAACACCATCTCCTGCACCACCATCAGTCCTACAGCACCATCATCCTACAACACCATCGTCCTACACCACCATCGTCCTCTAACACCATCGTCCTGCAACACCATCATCCTACACCACCATCATCCTACACCACCATCATCCTGCACCACCATCGTCCTGAAAACACCGTCATCCTGCACCACCATCGTCCTGCAACACCGTCATCCTCTGCCATCATCCTGCACCACCATCGTCACGCCATCCTACATCACCATCATCCTACAACACCATCATCCTACAACACCATCATCCTACAACACCATCATCCTACAACACCATCATCCTACAACACCATCATCCTACAACACCATCATCCTACAACACCATCATCCTACAACACCATCATCCTACAACACCATCATCCTACAACACCATCATCCTACACCACCATCATCTTACACCACCATCATCCTACAACACCATCATCTTACACCACCATCATCCTACAACACCATCATCCTACACCACCATCATCCTACAACACCATCATCCTACAACACCATCATCCTACAACACCATCATCCCACAACACCATCATCCCACACCACCATCATCCCACAACACCATCATCTACACCACCACTTCATCCCACAACACCATCATCCCACAACACCATCCTACACCACCATCATCCTACACCACCATCATCCTACACCACCATCATCCTACACCACCATCATCCTACACCACCATCATCCTACAACACCATCATCCTACAACACCATCACCCTACACCACCATCATCCTACAACACCATCATCCTACAACACCATCATCCTACAACATCATTATCCCACAACACCATCATCCTACAACACCATCATCCTACAAACACCATCATCCCACAACACCATCATCTTACAGCACCATCATCCCACAGCACCATCATCTTACACCACCACCATCCCACAACACCATCATCCTACAACACCATCATCCCACAACACCATCATCCTACACCACCATCATCTTGATGCACCACCACTCATTCACAATTCACCATCATCCTACAACACCATCATCCTACAAACCACATCATCCTACAACACCATCATCTTACACCACCATCATCTTTACACCCCACCATCATCTTACACCACCATCATCCTACAACACCATCATCCTACAACACCATCATCCTACAACACCATCATCCTACACCACCATCATCTTACACCACCATCATCTTACACCACCATCATCTTACAACACCATCATCCTACAACACCATCATCCTACAACACCATCATCCTACAACACCATCATCTTACAACACCATCATCCTACAACACCATCATCCTACAACACCATCATCCTACAACACCATCATCCTACACCACCATCATCCTACACCACCATCATCCTACAACACCATCATCCTACAACACCATCATCCTACACCACCATCATCCTACAACACCATCATCCTACAACACCATCATCCTACAACACCATCATCCTACAACACCATCATCCTACAACACCATCATCCTACACCACCATCATCCTACAACACCATCATCCTACACCACCATCATCCTAAAACACCATCATCCTACACCACCATCATCCTACAACACCATCATCCTACAACACCATCATCCTACAACACCATCATCCTACAACACCATCATCCTACACCACCATCATCCTACAACACCATCATCCTACACCACCATCATCCTACAACACCATCATCCTACAACACCATCATCCTACAACACCATCATCCTACAACACCATCATCCTACAACACCAACATCCTACAACACCATCATCCTACAACACCATCATCCTGGCCACAACACCATCATCCCACAACACCATCATCCTACAACACCATCATCCTACAAACACCATCATCCCACAACACCATCATCCTACAACACCACTTCATCCTACAACACCACTCATCCTACAACACCACTCATCCTACACCACCATCATCCTACAACACCATCATCTACAACACCATCATCCTACACCACCATCATCCTACATCACCATCATCCTACAACACCATCATCCTACAACACCATCATCCTACAACACCATCATCCTACAACACCATCATCCTACAACACCATCATCCTACAACACCATCATCCTACAACACCATCATCCTACAACACCATCATCCTACAACACCATCATCCTACAACACCATCATCCTACACCACCATCATCTTACACCACCATCATCCTACAACACCATCATCTTACACCACCATCATCCTACAACACCATCATCCTACACCACCATCATCCTACAACACCATCATCCTACAACACCATCATCCCTACACCACCATCATCCCTACACCACCATCATCCTACACCATCATCCTACACCACCATCATCCTACACCACCATCGTCTCTTCCCCC